GTGGGATAGATAAAAAACTATAGTAACTTGTACAGCTTAGTAGTTAATACACAAACAACTTATGCACCTAATTTAGTAAAATTTGGCATGCTAATGATCACATGCATGCCCTTATATTGCCGGTCAAACAACAGGTTACTTTTTATCCCGGAAAAACGGACGGTTCTTGTGGGATAGATCTGTTTGTGCTTTTCCGCCAGTGACCCGCTAGTCTCTAATATAAATAAAATTAGGCACTAAGTTGGGTAGTTTTTATTTCAATCCTGGACCGTCTATATATGTAATACAACACAAACAATTCTAATTATAAATTTAAAAACCACAAACCCAACAAATTACAAAAGCAAAAATAAAAAAACGAGGACCAAAAATTTTTTAAGTAGATACATCACAGATTTACAGCTATATAATAATAATTATTATGGTATTAAATTTCCAAGCCCAAGGAACTGTATCACGAGTTTTATTATAGGCACTTGTTAATGAGCGAGAGATGAATAAAGTTTTCGCATAACAACTTGTAATGATGCTCAGTTCCTTCGACCAGTTCAAAGTGACCCTTCAACTCTTCAGCTTTCTGAGAAAATGTATTTTTTCCACCGAGACGTTATGGATGAAAATGTTACCGAGATATTTTTTATTGCTCAATCTCTGAAGTAAGTTTCATCGTTTAGATTAGCTTCGCTGTTTTATTGGTCTTATATTTTGTTTTGAATCAAGAACTTGTATTTTGCTTTTTTAATCATGATGAGACTAATTGTTAATACTTTTTTAAACCGCTTTGTTTTAAGACCACAAATGTATTAAGCCCTATTTAACGTCCCACTGCTGAGCACGGGCCTCCCTTCATTACGAGAGTTATCATGTTGGAAAGTGATTCGCACATAAAAATATCAGAGGTGCGAGACCCGGGATTTGAACTCGTTTCACTCGATTTCACAAGTTACCACGTTACCACTGGACTACGACTGCTTGCAATACTACAAATGACATGTACTTTTATATGTACTTTTTTAATGATCAGAATTGATACATACGATTAGTTGAATTTCTCTTTATATCGAGAACATAGTAAAACGATTTTTATAATATCAATATAAAACAAAATATATATGTACACATAATATGTATGTATAAAAAATTACATTCAAAACATTTTGAATCGAGCTAGAACGATGTCGTTTGAAAGATATTACAAACATTTTAACACTTCGCACCTACGGGAGAGTGTCGCAGATGTTCATGTGATGATGGGAAAAGTTATTATTGAGTCGTTATTTTAAGAGATAAGAGTTTTTTTTTAATAATAGTAAAATAATAAAAAAGCTTTGTCTTTCTAGCGTATTGCACCTTAGAGCGCAGATTCTACTAATATCTATAAAAACCTACGCCGTTTTCTGTCCGTCCATCTTTCTGTCCTACTCATAAATAACTTTTTAATGGTTTTTAAAGTGTAATAGGTACATCCTTAATGCAATTTTTATAGCGCATAAATTGTTATGGTTGGATATCCTTATAAATAATATTTGATTACCTATATTATTTATACATAAATTTCTGTAAAGGTAGCGGTAGCCCAGTGGTAGTGCACTTGCTTGTTAAATCAAGTGAAGCGGGTCAAATCCTGGGTCTCGCTTCTCTGATATTTTCGTGTGGAAAACATCGCGAGAAAACCTGCATGTCTAAAAGAACCTAAGAAGTCTTCGAAAGACATGTAAAGTCCGCCAACCCGCACTTGCCCAGCATTGTAGAGCATGGCTTGATTTCAGTATACGTCGTTGATGTCGTCACATGTATTTTGCTTGCGCACACAGTTATGCAAGAGAAAGTAATTTAAGACTCTATAGTCAAAATACAGAGCAGTGGTTACCAACTCCGATAGCCGTGATCGTCTAGTGGTTAGGACCCTACGTTGTGGCCGTAGTAACCCAGGTTCGAATCCTGGTCACGGCAGCGCAAGCTGTCTCGGCGGAGTTATAATTTTTTAACGTATTACATTACTTAAACTCGACTTGTAGGTACAATAGGAAATATGTTTTCTTTTATCTATATAAATATTAAAAGATTTAAAAAAAATAGTAGGTATTAAAGTGTTTTCTATACATATAATAAACAATGCTAGTCTATAATAAAAAAAAATCCATGTGTCATTTCAAGATATAGGTAATCTATACATCTATACCTACAGATAAATAAAATTGAAGTGTCTGTTTTTAATATCAAAATAACAGCTTTTTACTAAATGTATATAAAATTATATACGGTACCTATAAGGAAAACACAATTTTTAAAATGTTTGTCTGTTTGTTTTGGCTAATCTTCTAAACGGCTGGACTAATATTGACGGTACTTTCACTGGCAGATAGCTGATATTATAAGGAATAACTTAGGCTACTTTTATTTAGAAAAAGAAAAAAATTAGGGTTCCTATCAAAAAAATTAAAACGTACCTAGGGACGCAACTGAGCGAAGCGTGGGTAAGTCGCTAATCATAACATATAATGTGTGCCAAATTTTATTCAAATCCGATGGACAGCTCAGGTGTTGAATAGAAATAAAGATATTTATTGATAAAATTATAAGAATGGTCGTTTAAAAGATTTCGTAAAGTTTTTGCGCTTGCGCATGCCGTTATATAACAGTGAGTAATTTAAGAATGTAAAGGTAAAATATGGAGATACCGTCACCAACTCCGATAGCCGTGATCGTCTAGTGGTTAGGACCCTACGTTGTGGCCGTAGTAACCCAGGTTCGAATCCTGGTCACGGCAGCGCAAGCTGTCTCGGCGGAGTTATATTTTTAAACATTTTTTTTAACTCATAATAGCTTAAAAAGTTAAAACTTAAAAGGTCTTAAAAGTTTTTATTTTTCCATTTTTAGTATAAACTTAATGAGCAGGTAGTTTGTAAGAAGAATTTTTTTTAATAACTTATTCGATTAAACTATTTATTTAATGAAAAATTAAAAAAAATGACTTCTAGGCACTAAAATGTAAAAAATAACTTGACGGGGGTTTTCATTTGGAATAGATACTTACATAATCAGATATTTTCGAAGTCGGTGCCAGCCGATGCAAAGCAAATCTATTTCGATACGTAAAATACATATTATTTTTCTATTAGATATTCATATCTTAAAATATGGTCGGCTGGCACTGACTTCGAATATGTTTGATTAGGTATCTATTCTAAATGAAAACCCCAGTTTAGTTATTTTTTACATTTTTCGGTGAAGGAAAAACATCGTGAGGAAACCTGCATGTCTGAGAGAACTTAGCAAGTTTTCGAAAGACATGTGAAGTCCGCCAACCCGCACTCGGCCAGCGTGGTGGACTATGGCCTGATCCCCCACGTACTGAAGGGAGGCTCGTGCCCAGCAGTGGGACGTTAAAAAGGGCTGAATACAATACAATACAATTACTTAATTGTACATGTTTGCGTAGAAATGTGACAAGAGTGTCAGTTGCATTTCCCCGCTGAATAGCAATGCCAATTATTTGGGCAAAAAAACAAGCCACCTCTCTTGTCACTAGCAGAGGCGATAACAGATGTTATGTCCTTCGAGAAGTAAGTATATACCTTTATTTAACCACCAAAAAAAAATCGAATGTGTTCACCACTGAGTTAATATTAGTCCCGCTGAGTTTGTTTCGCCAGTTCTTCTCATGTCTGAGGCTTCTTCTTTCCGAACTGGTAGTAGACTCATGGCGTTCAGTAAAAAAATGTAATAATTTAATGCTGAATAAAATATTTTGAATTTGAATTGAACTGAATCTTATGGTCTGGATGAATCAGTAGCTAGTCAAAAATACTTTGATTATATTTACAAATTCCCCATGTTTCCCCATAATGAGATATGCTCGTAGTTTCAGGTGCCTACTGCCTACAAACGGTCTCACACGTCATTACGCCCACAATTCGTCACTTTATTTTCGAATCATGTTCGTCGTATATATTTTACATACACTTCATTCACTTTCTGAGATTAAATGTTAAGCCTGGTTTCAAAAACATACTTAGTATATATTAGTGTTTTCTTTCACAACTAGCACTTTAATAACGGATTACAATAATATTATGATTTGGCTATTATTATATACAAGAGATATATATTATAAACGTGTGGCTCAGTTTGAATTGACCCTACTTGCTGTGCCACTGGTCACGGGTTCGAGTCCCACTGGAAATGAGGGCATTCATTTGTGTGATGAGTACGTATGCTTATACTCCAGTCATGGATGATATTTATAATATGTATATATTATAAATATAAGCTATCTGGTATCCATAACACAAGCCTCGTAGCTTACCATAGAACTAGATGGTGATGTGTGTTAATGTCCCAAAATACAAAAACTTTGGGTTTCTTTGCTTGCTTTTAAGAGGGACTTATTAAATTGGAATAATTTTTTACTTTTTAAGGAATCGTATCCGTAACTATGATTGCTGTAAAGTGTTAAAAACGTCCGGAACCAAAAATCAAAATAAATCCGCAAAAAAAATTCTAAAAATACTTTTATTTAAAACAATTATACTAGTGTGATCTAAGCCTAACTTCTTTAGCTTATAAACTATTTTAAGCCAATAAATATTTTCTATTTCTAATATAAACAAACATATAGTATTTATATAATGTGGCAACACTGGCGTAAACAGCTGTTTTTACTCGTCTTACATTTATTTGTTAAAATATTAATTATTCCTAAGTATTTTGTGCCATATTCCTATTAAATCACTAAAATAAGTAGTGATAAGTGTTAGTTATTAATAATTAGTGATATTAGTGCGTAAAATAGTTTTTATTTATGAAATAAGTTAAGTGTCAGTTAAGCTGAAAAATTTGAAATTTAGTTGTTATCTTAAACAAAATAGTGTGTTTCCAATAGTTATTATATTAAATATTGCTTTATAATACTTTAATTTACTTGTACTAGTAATTGCAATTTATCAACATTAACCTCTCTTTTGTTTTGCCCCACGAATCCTTTTATTTGATTTATAATGACAACCCGTAGAGCATTTGCCCGCCAGGAGGAGTCTAAACTCCAATTGGCTTTACAGGAACTAAAAGTAAGTAAGGATTTGTGTGCTCAACTGCATAGTGAAAGAGAGGAAAATGAAAAAGAATTATTGACAATATTAAAAAGTAATGACAAGTTAAAAGCTTCATTGACACGGTTACATATAGATTATAGTGATCTTTCAGAGGAGAGAGACAGATTAAAATCAATAGTAGTTAGTTTTGATGAGTGTGCGGTGGAGTATGAACAGGCACTGAAGCGGATCACCACACTGGAGTGCGAGCTGCGAGATGCACAAAAATATATCTCTGAGCTGGAAGAGAGTGCCCATCAAGCAACAGCACTGCACACTCATAGCTTGTTCGAAGAGTTAGTTGAGAACGCTCCAGAGTTGGTTGATGTTACAATTGAAAACCCGGTAACTATAGATCTTACAAATGATACCTTACCAGCACAACGGTTAGACAATTGTAGCAACAATAAACTAAAAAAGTACATAAAAGTAAATAAATTAATAAAGAAAACAAAAAAGATATTAAGTAAAAACAAATGTATTTCCAAAATATATAAAAATAACAGTTCACTATTGTCAAAATTTAATGTTTGTAAATTAGAATTGGAAAATATAAGCCAGAGATATGAGTCTGACACACAATTATTAGAATTACACATAGCCCAGTTGCAAACTTCCTTAAGAAGTATTACTGCAAAGTATGAAAGTAGTGAGAAAATGTTAAATGAGTACCAACTGGAGATGGATGAACTACTAAAGTTATCTAAGTATAACTCTGAAAGATTTGACTCACTCACAAACAATTGTATATGTGAATGTAAACAACTGAGTTCTCCACCCCCGGTCAATACTCCCCCATTTCAGGGAATATTGTGTGACAGGACTGATCTCTCTACTGTTGATAGTTCCCTCCAACATGGAAACACATATATGTACAGTGATGAAATTGGAAGGAATATGGGCACCTATTTATACTCACAATTTGATACAAAAGTATCAAACAGCTGTTTACCAAATTGCTGTCTTTCTGAAATTATTTCACAAATTCATAAAGACAGCAAAAATTTCAATATACAAAGTAATTTAATAATTTTCATAGGAAATAGGGGTAATGTAAACAAAATAGAATTGTTAAAATGTTTAGAATATTTGAATAAGCTAAAAGTTAATAAAATTGTAATGTTTACTTTACCTTACTGTAACAAGTTGCCACAACATGAAAATAATCTTAGATATAAGTATAATATGACATTGTACAATTCATGTACTTACAATTCGAAATTCAATGTTATTGATTTTAACAAATCATATGCTAATAAATATTATTATAAGTGGACTGATAGTAGGTATTCCCTACCATCTTTTATAAAACAACAGATAGCTATGTCGCTATCTTATTATTTTAAAACTTTAGCTAAGAATTTGGCTATACAAGAAGCTCCTATTGAGCTATGCAGTAGTAATAGTAATATTTTGAATGTACCACAGAGTACTTTAAACTACAAAAAAAGACAATAGAGATCTCCTCTAGCCCAATATTAACAGATAATAATATTTATTTAAAAAACAAAAAAGTATGTAATAGTATTCAATATATCAATCTGGTGCATCAGAATATTCAATGTTTGAGAGGTAAAATATTAGAAGTAGAATTATTTTTAAATAGTTTTGATATTAATATATTCTGTGTTACTGAACATTGGTTGAAAGTTCATGAAATCATGTTTAATTTCAGTAACCACCAGGTTGGTAGTACGTTTACCAGGGCGAATTCCATACATGGTGGCTCTTTAATAATACTGAACAAATTGTTGAAATATAAGGAACGTAAAGACATAGTGAGCCTCTCTGTTGAGCGTACAATTGAATTAGCATCAGTAGAGTTAGAGCAATTCATTGTAGTATGTGTATACAGACCTCCCTTTTTTTTTTTTTTTTTTTTTTTTTTTTATAGTTGGGAAATCCTATTACGGATACCACCCGACTTCCCCCGGGGTGGTTATGTGGAGACTCTCCGGCTAATGAGACCGGCATACCCACTAAAACCCAACTTTCCCCCTCTGCCGCCATGTGGGGCGCCACGGGATCGCTCTCGCATACAACCGCGACGCCCCGACGGTTGGCCGAAGCCACCAACCATGAGGCCGCCCCAAGCGGGACAACCCCATTATGGGAAGACTTACAACCCAAAAAGTGAGGCCGCTCCTAAGTCCACTCTGCTGATCAGAGAAGTACCCGGAGCAGCCCCACACCACACAAACACCGCCCACCGAAGTGGGCCACCTCCAATCGGCTGCAGAGGACAGGGAGAGCGGCAACGAAACACCGACACTCCTCTTCCCCTGCAGCCCCACCGCGTCCGCCATCAAACGGTGGCGGCCCCGTCTAGGCCGCGGAAGGTAGGGAGAACGGCGCACCGAAATACCGGCACTCCTCTCCCGCCGCGGCCTACCCCTCCGCCGAATGCGGGCCTGCGACCACAGTCCCGCAATCGGCACCCATCATCCGGTTGTGGGACCAAGCGGTCCCACCACCGGTGGCCGCAACGTCTTCGGCTCGAGGCCTAGACGAGCGGCCCCATCCAAGCCATTTGGTCCGCGCCGGATTTCTCCGGTACCACCCGCCCCTCTAAGCGGGTGGCATGCCCCTATCCGCCACCTGGGGACGCGCCCGGTAGGAGTTGGCTTCTCCCCCGGGATACAGACCTCCCTCATCTAACTATGATACTTTTGAAACAGTTATGGATGTAATGTTAAATAAATTGTCAAATTCTAATAAGAAAAAGATTGTGTGTGGAGACTTTAACATAAATATTTTAGAACAAAGTACTTTGAGTATGAAATTACTTAACCTTTTTACATCACACAATCTTTCCAAAATGTTTATGGAGCCAACAAGAATAACTGCCACTAGTGCCACTTGTATAGACAACATTTTTACCAACTTTACACCAATTTCTAAAAATATTATTAGTAAGATAGATTCTGATCATTGTGGTCAATTAATAAAGTTTAATATCGATAAAAATGTTGTCACAAAAAGGAAAATCTCTTTTGTGCCAGTAACTACAAACCGACTCATTCAATTGCAAAATGACCTAAGTTGTTATTTACCATTATTAAGTAATAATTTAAGTGCGAATGAGATGTATAACCAATTCTTTAAATCTTTTAGTAAACTTTACAATTCGGTATTCACTACCAAATCGGTTACAGTTTCTGATACATTGGTATTTAGTGAGTGGGCAACTGCAGAGTTATATAAAAAAAGAGAAAAATTATACGAAATGTACGCAGAAAGGCAGCATAACACTAGTGAACGGTTTAGAGACAAAGTTAAATCATTTTCCAAATTATTTAAAAAGGATTGCGAAATGGCAAAGTCTCATTATCTGAGTAACAAGATAGAAAATAGTGGTAATAAAATTAAAGCTACATGGAAAATAATTAACGAGGAAACTGGAAAGAGTAAAACTCTAAACAATAGCTTTAAATTAAATATAGATAATAAATACATTAGTTCTGACTCTGAGGTAGCCGCCGCGTTTGAAACCTTTTTTACCGACATACCAGTTTCCACTACTAGGTCTCTGAACTCTTCACCTGCCACTGCGATCAAATTATTGGAACAAAATGTGGAAGAATGCAATATTAGCTTTAAGTTCGAAAATATAAATGCACAACAAATTATAAATGTATTTAAATTACTGAATGTTAAAAAAACAAAAGATCTTTGGGGAATTTCTGTTAGCATCCTTAAACCACTTATTGATGTTGTTGCATCTGACTTAGCATTAATATTTAATAAGTGTGTAGAATCTGGTGTGTTTCCTGACTTAATGAAACTTAGTAAAATTATTCCTTTGTTTAAATCGGGTTGTACCTCTGATGCCACTAATTTTAGGCCTATTTCAATATTACCTACATTTAGTAAAATCTTTGAAAAAATAATGTTAACTCAAATTACGAAACATTTTTATAATAATGAACTATTACATGTAAAGCAATACGGTTTCACTCGCGGTCGTTCAACAGCCGACGCTGGAGTCGCGTTACTTCTAAATATATTTGAGGCCTGGGAGGAGTCACGTGATGCACTTGGCATTTTCTGTGATTTGTCCAAGGCATTTGATTGCGTTCATCATGAAACGTTGGTCAGAAAATTACACCACTACGGAATTAGAGATAAGGCTCTGGATTTACTTAGATCATATTTGAATGAAAGAATCCAGAGGGTAGACGTGAATGGAAAGCGTTCCCCTGGATCAGTTGTTGAAATGGGTGTACCACAAGGTTCAATTTTGGGTCCTTTTTTGTTCCTCATTTATATAAATGACCTACCATACCTCGTAAAGGATGACCACGGGATAGTTTTGTTTGCTGATGATACATCTTTAGTTTTTAAAGTTAACAGACGACAAGCAGTAATTGACGATGTGAACATTGCTTTATCCAAAGTGGTACAATGGTTTAATGTCAACAACCTTTTACTAAACGAGAAAAAAACAAAATGTGTAAAATTCACTTTACCAAATGTTAAAAGTGTAAAAACCAATGTACGACTGAATAATGAGGAACTAGATCTAGCTGATACCACTGTATTTCTAGGCATTACATTAGATGCCAAACTCCAATGGGGCCCTCATATTTCTCAATTATCGAATAAGCTCAGTTCTGCAGCCTACGCGGTTAAGAAAATACGTCAATTAACAAATGTAACGACAGCTAAGTTAGTATACTTTAGCTATTTTCACAGCATTATGTCATATGGTATTTTACTATGGGGTAATGCTGCTGATATTGACACAATTTTTGTGCTGCAGAAAAGGGCTGTTCGAGCTATATATAATTTAGGCCCAAGAGAATCTTTGCGGAATAAGTTTAAAGAAATTAAAATAATGACTGTACACTGCCAATACATCTATCAAAATCTAATATATGTACATAAAAATATTGATAAATTCAAGAAATATAGTGACCTGCATAATGTAAACACTAGAAACAAAAATAAGCTAGTTCAGCCCACCACTAGGCTCCATAAAATTGGTAATTCCTTTATTGGTAATAGTATTCGCTTTTACAATAAACTACCAGATGATACTTTAAAACTGTCAATAAATAAATTTAAAATTTACATTAAAAGACAATTAATAAATAAATCCTATTATAATGTAAAGGATTATTTAAGTGATAAAAAAGCTTGGGAATGAATTGCTCTTTATACTGAAGTAAGGATGTTTGTGAAACAATGATCACAATAAAAAAAATGTTACTTGGCTGAGTTTCTTGTGGGTTCTTCTCAGACCAGGGCGCGTTACGAACCCTCGTAGCTTTAGTTTAAGTCTTCTAATTGACGTACACAAGTGATCATTGAATTGATACAATGTGTAAAAAGAAGTAAATAAATAAATAAATAAATAAATATAAAGAGAGAATCTTCTAGATCAATATACATAATATTATGTATATGCGCGAAAACACAAGGGGCCTCTATTCTTTTCATTCTTAAAATCTGGTGGGACGACAATTCGACATGACTGGTAGAATCTAAATCTAAATTGTAATCTAAATATTCTAAATTTTGTTTTGCCTTATCATGTACTATTTTTTAAATGTCGTTATCACCTATAATTAAGGTACTACTGTATCCAAGCGCGGATCCAGGGGGGAGGGGGGGGTCATGGGGGTCATGACCCCCCCCCCAAAGCCAAATATACTTTTTTGAGAAGTTTGAAGTCTAAGAAAAGAAGGAATAATACAATTTTTTTTTAAGTACCTAATTCGAAACAAATTTTGTTTTTATTCGTTATTAAGTTTTTATTAGTTATTAAGTTTTTCTTTAATTTAAATAGCGCTATAGTCTAGCTCTAGTCCGATCGCGATGTGCTACACAAAAAATTAAAACCGGAAGTTTTATGTTTTTAAGACGTTTAAAGCAAACAAGACAAGTTGACAAATATTCTTTTTTCAATTTCTGGCTTGTTGTGACTTCTTATCGAAAAATATTCCTTACAAAAGTTGTAGGTCTAGTAAAAATCTACGACTATTACAATAACCTCAAAGTTTTCGACATATTTCCAAAAAAAAAACGATTTTTAATTTTT